ATCGACTCAGGTCTTCTGCTTCCTCAAAGAGTGTCATGAAACCAGATCAGCAAGGTGAGAAAAGGGGCCGTGCCTCAGTGGAGGAGAGCACAGCAGGAAGGGCTTCTGGAGGTTTTCCTTCTGTGAGCAGGCACAGTGTACTTGCTCCTGCTGTTGCAAACAGACTGGGTCTTAAATTTGAGTTAGAACTGAGTTTAAAACCAGGCGGAAGAAAAATACTGTCTTTTTAGTGACTGCAAGGTTGTGGGCTACCCTGTGGTGATTGCAAAAGCTGCTTTTCCTGTCAGGGAGAACATTAGGGCAATCAAATCTAGACTTGCATTTTCACCTGGCACAAGTCAGGACTGCAGTGGGATTGATCACGCGGATACGTGAGGAAATAGTGATCATTATGTATCTGGGAAACATGAAGTGAAGAGTTTCCCTGACTTAAAAACATCTTGCCTGTTTGAATGGTGTGTGTCATGTATTTACCTATGTATGCAAAGCACACCTCTTTTATTACATGCTTATGATGCAATCATGAAAATTATTTCTGCCTGTGACTGTAGGCAGGACGGCATATTACAAAGTGGTCGCATCCTTTTCCCTTGTCCCATCTGCCACAACAAAAACAGGCATGGATCCTGTAATAGGTTATATTCAGGTAAACAGGTCTTCCTGCAGGCATTGGTTTGCAGAATCAGAGGTGTTTAGTTCCCTAAACACTGCTGGAGGAGGGCCCCTTACATTAAAAAGCACTAACAGCAAAACTACAATCTAAAATCCTTTTCCTTTGGGTGGGGTTCCCTATTCTGGAAATGACTTGGCCATTTGAGATTAGACTTTTGGAAGATCAGTGTTCGGTTTTCTGTTAAAAACATTAAGATGATGACATAACTGAAGGTCTGGGAGAAATATAACTTAACAGTTAAATGTATCCACTTGGGGATTTGACAGCATGGTATGCAGAGGTCTTCTGATCACCGGATGCAGGAAAATAGCTGTGATCAGTGTGTGACCTTGAAAGTGGTCATAGGTCTTCCTCTGCCAAACTGGCTGAAAGAGAACAGAGAAGTTCTGTTTCTCAGTATAAGTTGTTGCTTATCTGGAAGAAGTAACTGAAAGTCGGGGGGTTTTGCTGATCTCGAATAAATGCAGTTCTCAGAATTTTGCACACATGAAAATGGCTTGTAGAAGTTAGCTGCTTTCCCTAAACATTTAGCATTTGAAAGATATGAGTATAGCAAGTCACATCCTTGTGGGCCAGAGCTCTACTTCAGTTTGATCAGATTGTACTTCAAGACAGATGACACTTATCCTTAAATCACTTTTAGGTTTTCACTTACTTTTCCTATGCATGTTCAGAGTTCTGAGTGTCAAGTTTGAGTCAAAACTTGTTTATACAATGCTATGTAAAAATAAATGTTCAAAACCAAATCATGAAAATGCTAGGTTATCCCTTCACCACTTTTCAGTGAGGCTAAAAATGTAGAATAATTAATTTTTAGAAACTGCAAAAAAAACCCTTGTTGCCTCCTTGTAAAAAAAAATACATGAAAAATAATTTTAAAAAATCAGAGTTTAGTGAATGAGGCAACTCTGTCATGAAGGTTTTTATTGTAGTCAGCAAAACTCAGATTTCTGCTTGACCTCTGGAAATATGTGGGAAACACCTCTGTTCAAACACTGTGGCAGAAAATGAAAACTCAGGAAAGCAGTGTGTTTGTCATTAAGCTAAAGTGGATGGCTGAGATAAAAGATTAAGTGATGCTTTTTACAGCTGATGTGCAAATATGTGTTCAAGGTAAGGATGTCCTTTCAAGCTGTTCTGCCTACCTTATCGAACGTTATTGCCTTGGGGTATTTAAAAAGTAGACAAGTTAGAGGGATCATAAGTTTCTTTTTTTCACATAAGTTGAGAAGATTTTATAAAAACTGGATTTTATGTGTAAAAACCCCACTGTTTAACATAATTATTGAGAAATATTAGTTATACAATGTTTGGTTCAGTGACATCTCATGCTGCTTGCAAGTGTCAGCAAATCCACTTCACTCTTTTATCAATATATAGTTCAAAGAGAAGTTTACCCTTGGCAGACGCTTGAAAGACTCCAAAAGTTTTCACCTATTTTTTCAGAACTTGGATAGTTTTCTGAGTGTTTGTGTTCTGGGGATGATGATTTTTTTAAGTCTGCTTTGAAATTTTACTTAAAATGACTTTGCAATGCAAATATTTTTTTTTCTTTACAGATGAAATCATGCATCAGGATATCATTCCCCTCTATGCTGCAGATATTCAGGACCAGTTAAAGAAACAATTTGCTTACCTGTCAGGTGAGATTATGATGTTCTCTTCTACAGACATTGCTTAGATATATAATTGGGCCTGTTGTACTTTCCCAGTTTTTGAGGTTATGTATAGGGGAAATCCATATTTTGAGTTGCCCCTAAAATACAGATTAAAAAGACTAGTCATTCAGTGATCCATGAAAAGTAAATAAATAAAAGAAAATAAATAAGAAAGTGACCAGTACAGGAACATGTTGTCTCCTGTAGTTAGTGCTAAGGAAGTTGTGGGTAGTTACCCTGAACCTCCCCAGTGCTTGGATCTAAGAGACAGGCCTCGAAAGCTGCCCTAGAACTCTCCAAACTAACTGAGCCCTTGCTTAGAGTTGGAGAGTGCAGCGTGTATCCCTGGTGGTTGCTGTGTCTTGCAGTCCTCAGCCTGCGCTGCTGCTGGCTCTGCTGTCAGGTTCAATACTGAAGCCCAAGCTGACACCTTGGCCTTCACCAAAGTAGGGTCCAGGTGAGCACTACAGTACCACATTGCCCCATGGCCTCAGGGCGTGGAGTCAGGCAGGTGTAGCACAAAATTCTGGATGGGAATTTTGTCTTGGTATCACCACCTGCCTTTTGCAAAGGAACGTGCTTCTAGGTGTAAAGCCATCTCTAAATGCAGCACAGTTCACGCAGGTCAGAGTCTCTTTGATGCCCCTAAATAACCTGTGCCAGGTAGGTGATAGGGGCCTGTGTTTGTGCTGTGCAGGTGTCAGTTGCTGGGCTTGGTCCATCTTGGTGTTGGGACCATGGCTGGCTGCTGATGGATAAAGGAAAGGAGTGCTTTTGCTCACCGAGCTGGCTGTCAGGTGCTGCTAAGCTCTTGGGTTTGTTTTCCTGCTGTTCTGCCTGTAAAGGTCTTGCAGATGTGCAGCAGCAAACTTGCTGCCTGCCCTTCCTCTAGTACATAGAGAGGGAGAGCATCAGAGGCTTTGCAGAGCTCTCCTGCCTCCTTCAGTGTAAAGGAGATTTACATCTCTAGGCTGAAACTGGGCTTTAGGGATGTTCCCTCCTCCTTCAGATCTCTCTGTACATCAGATCAAGAGACGTAGAGGAATGAAGCAATATACTGCTTTGCTTGGCAAGAGCTCATGTAATTTTGTTGTACTTGAAGTAATAAATGATAATTTATTCCTGCCACTCAAGCTAAACTAAGTGTGGGTCTTTGGTAGTGACTGTGTTTTCTGTGGGGTGGTGGTAGCACTTGGAAACAAGATAATTTTGTCTACGACGTTGAACATTCATGCTCCATTTGAGATGATGGTGTTGAAGCTACAGTTCTTTTCTGGCAGTTAATTTTTTTGACTTCTCAAGTTCTTCCTTCTTATCCGGGAGCAAAAAAATATTAGTGTTATGCAAGAATTGGTCTATCTAGAAAACTGCAAGTAGGTTTTATATTTTGCCCCTCTGAAGTGAGGGGGGAAACTGGTGACTACAGTTGATGAATAAAATCTCATTGAGTCCAGCTGAAGATTGCTCACTTCTTAGGATTGTTGAGCTCACACAGCCACAAGCATCTTCAGCACTCATTACTTTCACTGGGCAGTGGAGCTTAATAACAGCAGCCATTCCTTGCTCTTTTTTCTTCTATTTATCTGCCCTCATGTCTACTAGAAGTCTGTTTCATTTGCCTGAAATAGTAGGACAGACGCTGGGGACTGTGCCTATATTCTGTGTTGTACTTTATTATTCTTGGGCAACGTGAGAGTTAGGCATTTTCATTTCACTTTGGACTTTCACAGTTCTTTCATCCTAACATTCTCCTGTAGGATACTGGTGATTGCTTTTCTGTGATGTACCAGGTAGTGGTGTTACAGGTTCTGTGAAAAAAGGTTCACAGAACTAATATTTCAATACTCAAGTTATGTACAATGTGTTTGCTTTTGCAGTTGTGCTTATGAGTGGCTTTGCTGGGATGCCACTTAACACGGTGGTGGTGTGCGTGTGAAGGGGACTTCTTTGCATATTACAAAGTTGCTTTGGAAATACAATATTAGCACATGGCATAAAACTCTTAAAATGAAAGTACATAAACTACAAAAACTTTTGGTAGATGGCATCTTTGCAGGTATGGTGAATTGGTTAATGTCTTAGGTGCTTTCTAGTTTTTGGCTTTTTAACAGCGATGAGACACATACTTGAGAATCACTTCAGTTTCTCTAATAGGATGTATCTAGGTCTCGTGGGATGCTTGCTTGAATAGTGAATGAAGCCTAGTCTGCTTCTGTGGCTAAAGGCTGTAGCCCTCCCTGAACTACTTTCTGTGTTGTGATCTAAATTGGGGTCACTTCTTTCTTGTCTCTTTTCCTTTACCAGGTACAAAGTAATTTGTGTCGCTCATTTTGCTAGGTTATAATGGAAATGCTTCATGGACATCCAGGTTAGGCTTGAAATTAAGCAAAATAAAGCAAAAACTTATGTGGATGCTTTGGTTTGTTGGTAAATAGAGCAATTAGATCAAGATGCTGGCTACTGCTACAGAGTCAGTAGGCTCTGACTCTTTCTCAGCAGTGAGACTGCAGTCATGTGTTCAGCTTGAATCTAATGGAGGGGCAAGCTGTGGATGAGGCTTTTAATCAATCCCATGACAGATTTATAAACCGTGAAGTTAATATTTTACCTCAGGCCCAGCTGTTTACTTTTTTTCCTTGGAGTTTGTTTGTTGTGTTCATTTATTATTTTTTTTTACCCCTGTGGAACAAGTTCCTTATCTTTGAAAGAACTGCTACTCTTTTTTGTTGTTGCTAGGCTGTATTAGACATCCTCGTCAGCATGGTTCACTGTTCCACTCGTCCTTTTTCTTCCTTCAGTAGTTCTGTGCAGCCCCTTTTCTTCTGCACTGCGGAGGGTCTTCTGCCTTTCTTTTCTTTTTTTTTTTTTTTTTTTTTTTTTATATCCCCATGAAGGACATTGCAAAGCTCCATTTAAAAATCTCTGGAAAAAATGTATTATTTACATTTTCTCAAGGAAAATGTATTCCTTGCAGTCTTTCATTCACATTTTGTATTTTCTTTCGTAAGTATTTTCTCTTCCCTTGATGGGAAAGTTGCTGTGTGATTTCCATACCAAACTTTGCAATTATCTGTCGTTGCTGTATGCAGAAATGTAGATGAAGAATAGCATACAGACAGGTGTGCATGTTTATATGCAACTTAAATTGTGCAAGCTATGTGATGTGCAAATGAGGTTCTTGGCCTCTGTAAGTACTGAACCAATTATTTCAACTCTTTTCTTTGGATGCCTCGTTATGCATCGAACAACTTCAAACAAAATATTTCCATGAAAGGAAATATCAAATAGAAGTTCATCGTACTTGCATTTTTGCCTTTAAATTCATAGTTGTTTCTCCTGCAGTTGAAAAAGTTTGCATTGGTACCAGCTTTCAAAATCCTTATATCTTTGACCCTTTAAATTATCATTCTGAATAATATGCTTCTTCTCTCTTTATTTCCTTGCCTGTGCTTTTGCTCTCCTCATTGACCTGAAAATACCTCACTGGTTAAACTATTCCCTTTGAAGTATCCACAGGTGCTGAGTCTGATTTTAAAGTTGTGTTTGAAAACTTGTGAGGGGACCCTGTACCAGTACCTCGCATCAGTTTCTTAAAAGTATCAACTTGACTTTGGTTGCTGCTATAACATGGTCAATGTATACATTGTGTATTGACAGTGGAAGAGGTATTAGCAGTTTCTGTCTTTCCCAGGTGTAGGCTTAGCTGCTGTCCTATAATCACTGTGCTAAACCCACAGTGTGTGTGGTGGCTTAAAAAATAAAAAGTAGTCAAGAAGAAACACATAAAGAAGAATCCTCGGCTAAGACATCTCCAGTTCAAATACATTCAGGTACCAATTTAGTTACTGCAATTTGATTTCTCAGCCAATATACTTGCTGCTGGTCAGCTGGGGCAAAATACAGCTTGTGAAGTTATGCAAGTAAAACTTCTCTCTCATTTCAGTGAGAGAATATTTTAATAAATTTCTCTTGATTCTGTTTTTCTTTGCAAAGGATATGCAATCAAGCTTTTATCCGCTACCTCAAAGAAGTCTGCATGTAATTTCAAATACTCTGAGTACTCCAGTCATAAGTATATTATGCAAGTAGAAAGGAAGAATTATTTATCAGAAACATAAAAACATAATAGATGAACCACTGTAACAGTAAAGCAAAATGTGTAAACTTTTCTCTTACTCACACAAGGATCTCACTTTTGATATGGCTGCAAACAATTTTACTTAAGGTAGGCCTTTTGAACTGAAGTTGTGGATCTGAGCAATTTAACAATGATGATGCTCTTGAATCTTGTGTGTCTGTATTGATCAACATAGAGATTTTTATTTTTTCTTGTAGTCTAAATGTAATTTCATTTGCATTATAGAATCAGGCTAGAAGTCCTGCCTCATTCCTCTGTCATCACCTATGTAAAAGTTAGGATCCCAAAGTGCTCTTTCCTGAGCACAATTAAGTCATTTTACTACCTAACTTGTAGGCCTAATGAAATCCAACATAGTTTTAAAATGAGTATTTCCCCCAAACACAGGGCTGTCACTGATGTAAAAACTGACCAAAGACCAGGGCATGTAGATCTGTTTAGAAGACAGCTCAAATTAACTGAAGGTTTACTAGAACTGTAGAGATTTTTCCACTGACAGATTTCCATTTTAAAGAGGTAACTTCTGTTTTCTTTGATACTAAATCTGTTAAAGAAGGTTCAGCTGCATAGGTTGCCAGTTACACATTAGTTAATAACCAAGTTTTGCTTTCATGAGTGCTCATGGAAGTAGGGTGGAAGCAGATCTACTTAATTTAAAGTAGTATTGTTATTTTATTATTTTGAATTGCTGACGTAGACTTCAGTGCTCTTTACTTCTATGATGTTTCCATTTTTAGCTTCAAATACATTATTCTCTCATTTGAAGAATGTTCCTTGCAGCTGCATGTTATGAGATAAGTCTCAAGTAATTTTTGTGAATGATTTTAGGTAGAACGTGTGTAGACTGATTGCATGTCCAGTTCATTCTACTCTTTGGCATTCGGTCCATTGTGAAATAAAGGACACTTTCAAAAGTGAATCCACCTTTAATACAAACACAATTTAAATTTAGATTTTTCACTTTCTTTTATTTCCCATGTCAGTTTAGTAGCTTGTAAAAGGGCTTATTTGTAAGCAGCAACTGCTTTGCCAAATGGCCTGACTCCCATTGATAGCCATATATTTAAAGTCACAGTATAGAAAGTGACTTCTATAGGCCAGCAATGTTGAAAAAGCTGAAATTATGCAGAATTTATTACATGCAGTGCTTCAGGGCACACAGCCCTAAAACCTTTTTCAGCAGCAAGATAAGGAAAAGCACTTGAGCAGCATTTGAAGGTATATGTGTGCCTGGAAGGAAAACACTGGAGAAAAAGATAATCAGTTGAACAAAGATCTTCCAACACCACGTGGCAGGACAGAGTTATCTCCACACAAGATAACCACAGATTACTGTACTAGAAACTGAAAATTAATAGTCAGTGTCAAGGCAGGATGGCTCTATTTGCCCTTGACAATCAGTGGTGGTCTGGGAACTTCCTGAAGGTCATAGTCTGGGTTTCTGCTTTTAGGATGTGTCCTGCAAGTGTTTTGTTGTTCTTTTGTTTCGTATGTCCTATTTATAGAAAGTAAGAAGAACAAAGCAAGTAACCGACAGGGATACAGCAAATAATGTATAATTGTAGCTAAAAATAGATATCCTAAAGCAGAACACCTCATGAGCAACAGAAATAATCATTATCATGCTTGAAAAATGCTCTTAATGAGAGAGGAAAATGTTTTTGGTTCTGAGAGCCTGGGTAGAAGAAAGAACAGTAGAATAAAATTTGGTCTTAACTTACATTTGTGCTGTGAACATTTATATAGCTAAAATTAGCTCCCTTGACTTAGTGTCACCACATCTGGATGTGTTGTAAAGGTCATGTTTGCAAACTTGTGATATTTGCATAATACTTGAATTTTGTTGTTATTTAAATGCATCCAGAGCACTGTATTTTCTGATGTAGATTGATGAGCTACATGGTGGTAGCATCATATGGCTTTTAAGCTGGTATATTGAAGACAAATTCACCACAAATTAACATAAGGATACTCTTTGAGCTCTTCTAATTACATGTGGTTTTGGAGGGATATGGTGGTTTCTTTTATCAAATTAATCTGAGCTCAGATATTTATCTTCTTTTTCTTATGAGGTTAGATGCAAAGGCACTTGAAGTGGGTAAAAACACACTATAACTTTCACAAATCACTGTTGCTGTCATGGTCAGACAGTGTTATTAATGCCCTTTACAGCTAACTTCCACGCCACAGTCACATTGCAGGGCTGGAAAAAATATCCTTATTGTTTTGCCACAGCCATTTATAGCTGTTTTTCTTCTCTTTTTGAAACTTCAAGTAAAGATAACTCTCAAGCAACATGTCCCTGCCACCTCCCAGCTGTTAACTTCATGTAGTTGCTGGTGCTCAGCACGTCCTTTATCCAGCCTATCTGTATGAAAATATATTTGCATAAGATAAGAAACCTTAATAAGACCTTTTCAAAAAAACCCTATGTTTTGTATATGAAAAACGTGTGAAGTTAAAAATTTTGCATTTATGAATGGTAGCCGGTAGTTCAAGTTCCAGAAACAGTACAGATGCAGAAAAGATCTGGCTCATAAGCAGCCATATGTTGCAGTATGGCACCATGGGGGTTTGGCTCTGCTTTACCTGAAGTTTAACTGGAAATTTCCTGTGAGACACCTCCCCCCATTTATTTTCATGTTCTGCCACTTCTTTTAGACTGTTCTGGAAGCAGAGTGGCTAGCTGAAGTAGGGGGAGATGTTATAGCAATGAGTTCAAACTGGAAAGAAGGTTCCATTCAGTTCAAGATGAAGATTCACATACTTAATTCAGAATTTATTTATTTTTTCCATCCCCCTAAATCAGTTCATTTCTTTCTCCAAATTAGTTACATTCACATACAGTTGACATTTACCAAAAGAAAGATGCACTGCCATCTGGTGTCAAAACTGCGTTCAGATCAGCAACAACTTCCTACAAAAAAACCCCTAACATAGTGTAACAAATTCCTTCCTTATAAAACCTCCTAAGCTCTGAAGCAGAGACTAGACTCCTCAGAATAAACTGTCCACACTGTCCCCACGACCCCCGAAGAAACACAGTAGTTTCATTTCTGGAAAACTGCAAGATAGGTAAAGGGACTTGCATGTAAATGCATCTGCTCCTTCTTTCTTTTGTAGGTGGAAGAGGTGGAGATGGATGCCCTGTTATCACCTTTCCTGACTATCCAGCTTTCAGTGAGATCCCAGAGAAGGAGTTCCAGAATGTCCTGACCTACCTGACAAGCATCCCAAGGTGAGCACCTGTCGAGGAATAAATAGCTTTTTATCTGCTAAGTGACTTTTCGCTTTCAGTCACTTACATGATAGTGTAGTGGTCAGGCTTGGTATTTAATTCAAGAAAAGGCAAATGCAGCTTATAGTACAGTGTCAATAAGTGTTGATTGGTGACAGCTGCCTGATGTAGTTGTTAGATGAATTATACAGTGCTATTTATATTGCATCAGAAAATTACTTCCTGGCATGTATGGATGCAGATTCTGTATGGACGTTATCCTTTTCTTTCTTCTCTTTGCTGTATCAGAGTGCAGTGTTCTGTGTTTTAACTGAAAAAGTGTATAATTTTGGTAGAACAAGCTCATTTCTGGATGCTATTCAAGATGTTACTCAGTGTGAGGGGTACTCCATAGTTATGTACAGAAGTTGGTCCTTACCACTTGTGCTCCATTTCCTGAGCTTGGCTGAATGTACAGTCTTTGCAGCAGCACTTCCAGTTCTTTGACTGAAGGTGCTAAGCAGGCTCAGCAGTTAATCCAGGTTCTCCTAGAGAGCGTGGTAGTGTTATCACTGGACTGCTCAATAAAAACTGTGGTTTTGTAGAAGATCTGCAGGGGAATGAAACAGTGGTTTCAAGAGCCTGATGGAGGTGTGGATGGGAAGTAGTAAAGTATAAAGTAAAAACAAAGAAACCCAAAACAAGCCGCCTAGAGTGTTGCATTAGCACTAAAGGAATAAGCACAGAAGATGTGCACCTGTACTGAAATGTGCTGGTAAATTAGTGGCAGCCAACACATGTGAGAGACTTTGCTTCAGCCTTTTCTGGCAGAGTCAGCAAGGCCTGTGTGCTTAGAGCCAAGGGCTCAGGGAGGAGAGTGAGTAGAAGTAGGTGAGGATCAAGTCCTGGCTGCTTTCAGAAATCTTGACCCACATTTTTTCTTTGGGATGAGATGAACTTCATCAGGAGTGGTGGGCACAAGAAAGAAGGTGCCAGCATGGATTAAACAGCAGTAAACAGTGATTGACCTAGTTACTTCTATGATAAAACTACTGGATGCATGAATGAGGGGAAGCTGTGCATGTCTTTCACCTGAACCTGAGCAAGACTTTCAACACCATCTCTCTCAGTACCTTTGTAGTTTTACATCTGGACAGATGTGATGCTGGGTGGGTGAGAAACTGCTTGGATCATCAAGCTCAAAGTTAGGTGGTTAATGGCTCATGCAACATCTGGAGACAGTTCCTCAGGGAATAGTACATATCTGTGCTGTATGATGTCCTTGGCAAGGGTGAGAAGGAGGAGTGCATCAAGTTTGTGGATGAAAAACTGATGGATCAGTCAAGGTACTTGAGACAGGGAGCACCACTCAGAGGAATCTAGATGAGCAGATGGAATGGGCTGACAGAAACATAATTAAATATAGTAAGAACAAATTACAAGTCCTGCAATTGAATTGACTAATGCCCTGCAAGAATGCAGGATAGGAACAAACTGGTTGTGGGGCTGCTCTTCTGAAAAGAGGACTTGAAGGGTGGCAGCAGACTAAACAGGAGCCAGCAAGGTGCCCTGGCAGCAGGAAAGGCTGGTGGCCCTGGAGCTGCACCAGTAGGAACATGGTGCAGAATGGGTGAGACAGAACCATCCCTTAGCTGGCTCTCTCTGTCCCACACCTGCTGTGTGGGCCCAGCTCAGAGCTACGGCAGGGTAGAGGCTCACCAACTCAAACAAGTCCATCAGGATCCCTACAGTGGTCAGGGCTGGAAAGAGCTCATATGCAAGGAGACGCTACAGGAGTGGGGCTTGCTCAGAGAAGGGGAAGATGTGGAAGCCCAACAGCCACCATTCCTACTTATGGAGGCACAGTGGAAAGGTGGCAGTAGGGTCCTCACAGAGGTTGGTAGTGGGGAGAGAGTGGCCCAGGGTGGGAATGGGGACAGTGAGGTTCCAAACTAGACATAAGGGGAAAAAAAATGTTGGTGAGAGAAAAACAAAGCATTGAGAATAGCAAGAGAGGCTACAGAGTCTGTTGTTGGAAATTTTCAAGACCTGGCTGTACAAAGTCCTGAACAACCTTGTCTGAATCTGGAGTTGACTGTGCTTTGAATATGAAGTTGGACTAGAAACCTCCTGATATCCCTTCAAACCTGAATGATTGTATGAATCAAGAAATCCCCTTTATGTCTTTCTCTAAAGTGCGCTACGTGGCTTTTCCAGATGTAAAACTCCTACAAACAGAGCTTGTGTGACATTGATAAAATGCTGATCTGAAGCTGTATTTCACATTCTTTTCCCTGACAGCATTCAGTGCTACTCAGCATGACCATGCTTAGTTTACATTTGGAACTAATTATGGCAGATATCTTTCATGCATATGTGTGCTTTTGTTTCCTGTACGTGCATACACCATGGTGTATTTCATGTAAAGGATTTTTCCTCTTAATTATTTTGTAGGACCTACTCCCTGTGAGGGAATACAGGTTATATGCAGCACAGTACTGTGAGGTGCCTTCTTGGTTGTACTTCTTAACCCCTGGTTTATCAGGGAATGGAGCTATGAAGCTGCCAGCCAGCTTTATTTTCTTTGTTTATCACTGTATTGATTAAACTGTGTGGTGCTAACCCTCCCTTGATAGTATCTTTCTTGAATACTGTTATTACAAATAATTATGTACTAAATTCACATCTGTATCTCCTTTTGAAAGTCCTTGGTGGTGTGCTTCCTGGTGGTCCATTGAACTGCTGCACAGAGTGGGGTTTATGTGGGAAATTCTGATCAGAACAAACAGCATCTGGTGCAGGGGGGAGGACTGAGCACACCCCAGAACATCAGTTTGGCAGGAGCATATTTTTACTAATTAAAGTTAAGGAGCAGTTCTGGGGGTTATTGTTTCTTTAGTTTCTAATTCTTTTTGAAAGAGATCACTGTTCTGTGTAAACCAAGGAGATAGTCCAGCTGGCTAGATGTGAAGAGTAAAGTATTAACTGTTGTGAATATAACAGTATTTTAGGTGTTAAGGTGGTAATGTTTCAATTTCAACCTTGTAAAAATAATACCACTGTTAACATATCTGGGACCTTTTTGTGCCTAAGAATTGCTGTAATCTCAAAGGGCTGAAGACATCCCTGGCATCTTCACTAGTGATGTTACAAGCTTACTGTGTAAAATTGTGTTTATGAGCCCTTTTGCAGGTTTATAGGAATAAATATCTACAGAAATGCCACTAGCCAGATGTCAGCATACATGCCCAAAGATGGGCAGTGTTGTCTTTTGCTTGAATTGTCGTATTTCTAGTGCTGTTAAAAGTGTCATAATCTAAGATTTTTGCTGTTATCTTAGTTTTCAAGGGCTAAAATTTCCAAGACTGTTTTGGAAACTTGTTTTGAGGGTGTGCAGGCAGTTAGTTGTTTAAATTTTTCGTAAGTTATTAAAGAGACATAAGGAATAGAGATTTATAGGAAGGATAAAAATGGAGCCCACAGCTTTTATGCATGGACTGGTCTCCAGATTGGTGTAATTTAGTTTATGAAATACGTAATTCTGTCTTTATCCTGTTCTGACTGGCTGAGGGGAAGTGGACTTTTCTATGAAAAACCCTGTAGAGCATGAGCATGTCTGGAGCCACAGCAGTTCCTCAGAAAACTACTTGTGCTCCTTGGCCCTGTATGAGATTCTTGATCACAGCAAGGGGTTGGCAGCAGTAACTCAGCTCACTGTCTGCGTGCCTGCAGTTGCATGTTAAGGGAAATGATATTTTGTGGGAATGACTGTGGAGCTGTTAAGAGCCTCATAAGAAAGGACTTTTCTGTGCTTTGCAATAGAGTTTGCCCAATAAAATGTTTACGGGTACTGTAAATTTTAGCAATGGCATCAGGTTTTCAAGATTTGTTCCCAAGTGAAAGAAGTACCACCAGTAGAAGTCTTGGTAACAAGACAAGCTCACAACATTCTGTCAAAGGAGGAAAACCAAAACCTCTTAACCTATCTTTGTTATTGCCTGTAATTTTATACATATGACCTTGTCCTTTCTTACTGCATTATTGTTCTGTACTACCTAAATATTGGGGTTTGCAAGTTCTTGCTGTGTAAACTGTGTTTTGTCATAGTGAACTTCAGTCATGAAGAGCTGAACGATGCAGTGGGTACCCTGTGTTTAGGAATGCAACGATTACAAGTTGCGTGTTACCAACTTACATGTCCATGGTACAGGATAGTGCAAATAGCAGAGCTATCAGCATGTACTCAGATGTGCAAATGTATGATACATGAGGATGTCAAGAAAGAAGACAGTGAAAAGGGAATACCTCATCTCAATTTAAGATAGTCAGTTAACCTTGGTGCAATTGTATATCATTAAACAGAAAGCTGAACCATCTTCTTCAAGTGGAGTTTGTTAACATTGCAAGGAATATTCATTTTCTGTGGACAGCTGGGTAAAATATGATGTCTACTGTGTGGTTTGTAATAATCTCAAAATATTCAGCGCAGGATTGTTGACGTGGTGTGTGACAACAGTCATGTATTATGTGTACTTAAAGATCACTGCTGTATCAGGAAAAAAATATGGATTAAGGGTGAGTACTATAGACAATGGAAGATTATAGGTAATACTTCTGTAACTGCTGTGTTGGTAATGAGATGTATGTTGTAAAGATATATGTGTAATACTTCTGAAATAGATTTTTCCTTTTAGCAGCTAGTAATTTTTTATTCTTATAAGAGTGGAAAATATATATATATTTTTTTTTAATTCTGGGATTCTGGTGCTGAGAGATCTTGCTTGGGTCAAGTGACTTGTGGTTTTATGTGTACAGTGCCCAAGATGAAAGAAGGAGAATCCATGGCAGTATGTATTGTACTTAAGGCAAAGATTTCTAGGAATAGGATTTTAACTGAAGTGTTGAATTGGTACAAATAAGTCACAGATAAATATTGAGCCACAGGAATTAATAGTTCTTATCAATGGAGTTGCTGATAAAAGTCATTTATCTGTAGAAAAGTGTCTGTAAGAGGTGAGCTC